GGGGGGGGGGGGGGAACGCGCCACTCGTGCCTGTCTCTGTCGTGTCGCAGCTGCAGTAATACACAAAGCTATGCTAAGACGACGTGGAAAGAGTACAAAAGAAAGAGAAACGCACTTAACTGGGGTGAAATCCAGTAAGCTGCATCGCCTTCCTCTTCCGCCAGCTGCATGCATATACAACCAGCAGCGAGACAGGAAAAAAAAACGGGTATGCACCGATGCAACGAGAGGGGGAGGGGGAAGGGGGGAGAGAGAGAATAATTGAGGCAGCAAATCAGGCACACACACACACATATGAATCAGAAAAAAAGAAACATAGAAGGGAGACTCACATAAGGCAATGCTCAATCCGTCAAGCACAGCCGAGACGCTTTTCAATGTCATTTCCATGCGCAACGGCAGTGATCAGCGAAGTGATTCAGCAGCATGAGATCTCTTTTTTTTTCGTATTATTGCTTTAGATTATAACCGCTCTTTGTTTTACATTGCACAACCCTTCATTTTTTTCTCCTGTGAATGGTGCTATTGCCTTGATGTTATCCCCCAACAATCTCTTGTCTTCCATTCACATGCGTATTCCTCATTCAGCATGTATATATATACATTTAGACGTATACTGCTGCGTTTGCGTTTATTCCCTCGTTCCCATATTCGTCTTGCCAGACAAAACAGACCAAAAAGCAGGTGGTGGTGGTGGCCGACGCATAAAAACAAAAAAAAAATCGACGAGGGAAAAACAAACAAAATATTCCCAGTTTTTCCACTTTTTTTTCTCTATTGTTTTTGCTTCCTTTCGTTGTTCCCTCGTCGCTCCTCTGTCCCACACAAACACACAAGCAGACAGACTATTTGTTCTTGTTTTTTCCTTGTTTTGCTTCCTTCACTCCGGCAGTTGCTACAGCTCGTCTGTCTCGTTAGTCTTCGTTAGTCTTGCCGCTTCTCTTGCGTGCTCGTTATGCCTTTCCCTCTCTTCTGCCTTCCTCTTTTCTCCTTCTTTTTTCACTCCTTTACGTCATGTCGCGTACTCCAGAAGCCGGCAAAGACGTTAAAGCCCCCCAACCAAAGAAAAAAAGGCCTAACAAGGACAGTGAACATAAAAAAAAAAAAGAAACAGCACAAGAAGAATGTTGAAGACTCAGAGAGAGAATCTCATGCAGCACAACAACAACAACAAAGAGGAAAACAAACAAAAAGCACCAAAGGGGTAATTAAAAAAAAAAAAAGAAACAACGACAACAACAAAGAAACAGAGCCTCCAGGATTATATGTCGCAGAGTAAAAGATGACACGCTTCTTGCGTTTGCCACAAAGAAGCATCACACCATCCCATCTCTCCCTATCTGTCCTCCATATCCCTTCATTCTCATCCCACCACACCGGCGCAGTAAACGCCACCCGCATGATTTGTCAGACCAGCTACACGTGTCTTCTAGTGCACTGTATTTGGCAAAAAATATACTACACTTTGGTGTACTCTCCGTCACAAAAACCTGCAAAGGCTGCTTGTTGCACAGATGTCAGAGGCGGCAGCGGGTGATGAGGGCTCTCTGGGTAACGGTCAAAATAACGTGTGTCACCCTCCCTAGTTAGACGCACAGGAATAGGAGGGGTTACCTTCTTCTGTAGCACAACGTCCCAATCGACACCACTGTAGAACTTATGGCGCTTCACGTCCTGAGAACCACGCTTTAAGGAGCCCAGGCGTTTGGTTGGGTCGAGTGAAAGCAGGCCCTTAATTAGGTCCCTAGCTCTGAGCTCCACCCACCGAGGGAACTGGAGTTTACCCTCCAAAATTTTTTCATAGATTTTAAAGGGGCTTTCGTCAAAAAATGGTGGGTAGCCAACCAGCATTTCGTAAAGAAGAATACCAAGTGCCCACCAGTCGACTGCTTTATCATGACCCTTGCTTTGAATTACCTCTGGGGCGAGATATTCAGGTGTGCCGCACAGCGTAAAAGTACGCTCGATGACGCGTTTTGCAAACCCGAAGTCGGTGACTTTTATATTCCCTTGGGCATCCAGAAGCAAATTCTCTGGCTTCAGATCGCGGTACACAATATTACAGCTGTGAAGGTATTCAAATGCCAAGACCACCTCTGCAGAGTAAAACTTTGCCACATCATTGGGAAACTTCCCTGCCTTCCGCAGGTGTGAGAAGAGTTCCCCACCCACCACATACTCGAGAAGAATGTACAAACGGTCATCGTCCATAAAACCTTTAAGCATGTTTACAATAAAAGGATGGCTGACCTCTTGTAAAATGCTCGATTCCGCCAATATATGATCCACCTGCTTCATGCGTAATACCTCTTGCTTTTTAAGGATTTTCAGAGCCACATACCTCCCAGAAATTTTATGTCTGCACAGACGAACACGGCCAAAAGTGCCAGTACCTATCGTTTCTCCCATCTCTAAATCATGCAGTTTCCAACCAGCTACTTCCTCTTTTGTGACCTCTGTGGAAGTCTTCATTTTATCCGACATGGGCACAGACACACACGCACGATCACACACACCCACACACGCGCACAGAGACTATATATAATGTATGTGCACGAAAAAAAAGTCTCGTGTACAATAAGAATAGCCCTGCGACAGAAGCCCCTTAACTTTTCCCTCTTATGTGTGTGCAGACACTGCGATATATGTGCTAAAAACTTCTGACTATCACCACCGCAAAGAAAAAAGAATTGATGAAGAACAGCAAAAAGAAGAAACTCTCATTTTGTGCACCTTGTAGTGGAATTCTATCTCTCTCTCTCTCTCTCCCCATACACACATATACAACACATCAAATGTGTCCTTATCATTACACAAAAGGAGCATAAACATAACCAAAGAAAAAGCATTCTTTCAAGTGAAAAACTTCGCAAACTTTACAGCCCCAGACTCTTGGCCAGAATTCCATCCCTCTTCGATTTGTTGTAGTGCTGTAGAGCTACCCTTTGCCCTCTCCTTCAACTGTGCAAGCAACTCTGGCTCTCCATGGCGACGACAATCCGCTCCAGCTCCTGCCCAATCACCACACTGCACATAAAACTCCATCCTTTCTTCAATTCGAGGTACCTTGGGCACGTACAATTTAGCCTGTTCATGCCTCCCACAAGCGAGGAGTGTTCTGACGAAAGCTGAAGCTCCAATGACAGGCTTCATCTTGCTTTTCACAGCACCTATTTGATCAATAAGATCCCACTGAGACGACTTGGCATATGCTTTTAGCATAGACCAGCAATACATCTTGTCAGATACACCGAAATCGTTTTTGATGCGCTCCGCCACCTCATTATGACCATGTTCATGGCAAAGTGAAATCGTCTTCGCAACACTGGCGTTAAGGAAACGCTTATCAGTATATTTCTGCATTAATTTTGTCTGTGTATCCAGAAGCTGCATGTGCAAACGAAGCCATTTTTCATTTGATTGAGACAAACTTGTTGAAAACCCACTGACAACCGCCACAGGTGAAAACGCGCTGCCCAACGCGCCACTGTTAGCAGTAGATATTGCAGTTTCCCGCTTTGCAGCGATTACAAGTGACTGAATAGCCCCTATTTTAATCTCCTGCAGCATCATCCAGCTGCTGTCTTTTCGATCAAGTGCTTGTATCGAGCGTCGCTCCTCATCTAAATAATGCAGAGTATTCAGGTAAGTATTGTACTCTGAATGAGTTCTGAAGTACTCCACAAGCAATTCACGATGACTTTCACATGTCATTACGTATACAAGAAGCATGCCCTGTGAAATTTGGTCGCTAGCTAAGAGAGGAATGGCGTTGGCACCTCTCTCGTTTATTAGATGCATCATAACAGTAAAAATAAGATCAGGATCACCGCACTTAACTGCCTTTCGAAGGGCCACTTCCGGTTGTTTGATGTCCAGTAACCTTGGTATTTGTTTCGCCGCAACTTTTTCAGCTTCCAAGAGCAATAGTGCTGCATGAGGTTTCTGTTTTAGATAGGCTTTGTATGCAATATCAGCAAAGTTTGTTTGATTGAGCTGTTTTAACTTTTCCACCACATTGTGTGTGATTCCCTTTTCAGCATTTGCTGATACAAAAGGTTTGGCTAGCTTTGCCAGAGCCCAATCCATCATGACGAACTTTGTACTATACCCCAAAGTATCACATATACAATAGGCCAACTGGTGGTGATTCATCTGTACAAGTCGTTCCGCAAGACGATCCCCTTCCAAGGCTAGCATCTGCACCTGAGACATCACCATACCTGTTCTACTTTTGCGTAATGTATTCAATACACGGAGCCGCCTCGCCATGTTAACAAAAACATCAGATTCGTACACTGAGCTAAATGACTTACCAAATGCAGCCACTCGCAGTAAACGTTTTTGCTGTGAAACATCGAACTCAAAACCTGCAGCTGCAACACAATCATCTACCGCCTCACAAAGAGCTAGAGGATCCTTTTGCAGATCACGAATCATCTTAACAGATGACGCGTTCCCGCACATAAACTCGTCAAATGCAAGCAACAACATTGCAGAGTTTGCACGGGATCCCACAGAAAAAACACGACGGCTTGGTTCTGGAACAATCTGAAGAAACTGATAGGAATCTGATGACAAAATTCGTATTCCATCACAATCAGAAACCAAGTAACAATCGTCAGGGATGTCATTCAAAAAATCTGAATGATTTGGATCGTTGGCATTGACTAAAGTTAGTGTTGTCGAAAACTCAAGGCTCTCATCAAACTGTCGAGACAAATGCAAGTAGGCAATACACTTATCCCCACACCATAAAAACTGGGCAGGCATAACATCAGTGTCTATATTCAGCAAGCGGGTTATGTCTTCGAATGAACGCGATGCAACGTAAAGTGTCCCATCTTCAACTAGGAAGGCAATAGCATGAGCACTTGGAGAAAGTGTCATATGTGCAACACTACCACCATCAATAGATAGGCAAAGATCATAACATCGTGAATTCGCATGGAAAACGCAATGATAAAAACTAGATGTTTTTCCATTATTGAGAAATGGAATGAATACTTCTGTGTATCCAGTATCGCTAAATTGCTGAGGAATAACCAACATCACATTTGGTTTTTGATTTTGGAATACACTGGGAAGATCCAAAGAAGCCGCACGATATTCTCCGTCCTCTTTACATTCCAGTAGGACAAGACGAAATGTTGGTTCATTAATCAGCAATGCAACCCCATTTCCAGCACCAGCGCACAAAGATGGAACGGGCACCTTGATGGATGCGGCAGCAGGCTCTCCCTTCAGGTTGAAGAATCTTGTCTCTCCCGTGTTCAGAACTAATATAAGATGGTCATTGCATTCATTCCAGTACATAAACAAAACACCTTCTATCCCATCCAACATAATATGTGGTGTCACAGGATGTGGCGCACCCATCGCATTGTAGAGATGAACAAAGTTACCATTTTCTTCAGAGTCAAAATGACCTCCAGAATATAAAGCCAACGGCCCACCGAAACTACAGTAGGTAACCCTGTGGTCAAACAGGCTCGTTTTTAGTTCCCATAACAAATCATCAAAGTCAACTAGACGCACCATGTTCTCTCGACTAAGTGCAATCCACACACCGGTTCTGGACGTCCTGACATATCTTCTTTGGCAGACCATAGGTTAAGCTTGAATTACAAAGAATGTATATATATATTTTTGCCTTTCTGTCCTTTTTTTTATGAGAAATATTTCTTCCCCTTTTCATAAAGAGGTGGAACACAAAGAAAAAGGAAAAGAAAAAGAGCAAAAAAAAATCATTAAGCACCACCCTGACACTCTGGTGAGATTCAATATATGAATATATACACATTATTGAACAAAGGAATATTTAGCAAAAGGCATCTTGGACGACGAATCATAGCATCACTCTTTTAGCCTGTAACGGAACTTCACAATAAACACTCATAGACATCTCTACAACTTCACGTCCCGTTTTAGCCAAAGGAATAATAGTGACCGACTCATTTGGTTCTATTGTCATTTTCAAAGAAAACACCACTACGACATCCGTACTATACTCAGTGGTTAAACGGGTCTGCTCATTTCCTAAACGCGAAGCATCACCTGAAAAGACCTTCACACCAATACCAAACGTTCGCCTACCAACTGGCTTTTGTGAAAGGGCCACCACTAGTTTTTCAACTTTTTCCTTGTTGATATTTATTAAAATTAATGCAGGCCTTATGGTGGAATCTGCTCCCCATTCGCCTTCAATTGTACATTCATAGTGAGAAGGAAGTGGTATCAGCTGAAAAGGATCAACAGATGCTGCTGTCAAAGTGCATTTACATTTTGGAGACGCTGATGTGGTGAGCTGAAGTCTTTCATTCTTACCCAGACAAATAACAAGCGCAACTTGATCACCATACATTTTTTCTGTTGAGAGTAATTTATTTTTTGAAGATATGTTATATCTTCGTTCAGCCTCTATTTCACTACCAATTCCTTTGTAAATATGCATCTGAATCCAACCATTACAAACATTTTCGTCAATTTCTTTCCGCCGCAACACAATCATAACCTCACACTGTGTTCTGCCCTGATTCGCAAGCAGGAAAGAAGGATTTGTTGCAAAAGTTGAAGTGCTGTCTGAACCCCCAAAACAGTTACATAAATGTTCCACAACACATTTGTGATTAGTTAAAGGATCACTCTGTGGCCATAGTAGTAGACAGGTTCTGTCAAAATAAGCTAAATAGTTTTCAAAACTAATCCAGTATCTCGGTAATCCAGAAACATTATCTGCATTACAGTGTAAAATACGGAGAGCATCCTTGTACATTGTCTCATTGGGACACGAGAGTTGCACTACATATGAGAGGTATGGGTTCTCATCTCTAACCGCCTCAGCAGCAGAAACAATATACGACATATAAGGGCAAATACCTTTTTCTTCTAGAGAATGTGTTATCATTGCATTAGACGGAATACATAAAGATGCAAGAACTTTCTTCGTATTAATTAACCCTCGGAGAAAACTGAACATTTCTATTTCAGTAAAGTGCAATTTCAAAACTTTCCAGTTGATCTCAAAACAAATTCCCCCGGTTAGCCTTGAAAGGGCGTAACCAAATGCCACACCGGATATGTTTTCATACCCACCGTGAAGTTTAGCGAAAGCTTTTTCCACCAAGCATCCCCAATAATCTCCAGTGTCATAGCCATGGTGAATACCGCCGGGAACACCATTTACCAAAGGGATTTGGTCGTCTATGACAACCTCCACTGAAGTATCGTTCACAAAAAAACGGAAAGCAAAAACGCCTATTTCTGGAAGACGCCTAATACAGAGATGCTTTCGAAGATAATGGACCTGTTGAACAATATTGAGGGCTGAACATAAGTTCTGTGTATCATTAATTACAGAGTGATACAAAGGTTTCCCTCCTACACAAGAAGTTTCTCGTTTTTTCGAGTCCTTCTCAAGGCTACTCACTCTCATCCATAGAACATTGGGGTCCTTAATAGCAACCTCAGGTGGAAATTCCTTATCGCTAAAAAGAGAATGATTAGCCATCACACCGCGCAAGGTTTGCTGAAGGGATGACCATTCTTGTGTCCTCATTGAGACACCACGGATTTCTGCCGAATTCTCTTCAGTCCAAGATTCCATTCGCCATCTCCATGACTTGGGTGCCTCTGGTTCAACTACATCGCGCCAACAACTCATAGCCTCTTCACAATTAACTTTATTCAATTCCACTTGCGTCATTATAGGAATTTGAAAAACCTCAGGTAGCATGGTTCCAGAAAGATCCATATCAGTAAGTCCTTCACATTCAGTAGATAATTTCTTTAATGCTTCTCCACTTGTCACATCCAGAACAACGTTTCGGAGGACAAGATTTCTAACGCAGCTGCCTTTCAGTGCGGAAAAGAAACGGACCAACTGCTCAGTGGGCAATTGCATTCCACTGAGATCGACCTTTTTGATTTCAAAGCGCCGCTCAATCAGCTGAATGATGGATTCGAAGTGTGCCGATGAAAAGAAAACCAAGCTGAGATCAATGGTCTCGGGGGAACGTGCAAGCGCCTCTTCCAAGCTTGCAACCGGTTTGACTCCTATTTCCTCACAAATCCTCCGGTATTCATCGGCCACGGAATCCAACGACATTTTTTCTTTTTTATTTCACACAACTATGAGTAAGAAAAATAAAAAAAAA